CGCAAGAAATCGAGTGTCTTATCTTTTTAGTGACAAAACTTAAAACTTTGTTCTTATATCTACACTGGACAAAAATATATTAAATTTTAATAAATCATTTCTTTGAATAATATCAACTAAATATTTGTCAAACATAAAGATATGTTTATTTAATATAAAAACTATTAATTTGATTTAATTATCATTTTTTATTAAGTAAACATTTATTTACTGTAAATGTTTAGTTGGTATTGTTCAAATAAATATTTATTAATATTTAGTACATTTTTTCTTAGTGTATTATATATTCGGAAAAAATTATCATATTTATGCAGTAAATAGATTGAAGATGAGAAGTTTTTTGTTTTCTGAAAATTTAACTTTTTAGAGTTGTTCAAAGTTTTGGCGATAAATCTTTAAAAATTACAGTTGAGAAAATTACTTAATATAAAAAAAGAAAATATTTTATATATATACATCAGTTAAAGATGAAGACTTATTTCAAGCTGAACTTTTGTAAGCGCATCATACTAATTTGTTGAAAGCTTCGCAAATATAGTCTTCTAATCAGTGGCGTAATTATGCGGGGCATGGGGGGGGGGGGGATGCCTCTTCCGCTCCATTCACATACAAGACAGTCACCCCCACGGCCGAACGAGTGCAAAACTTCGTATGCTTCATATTAATGATTCGTTATATTTTTATATGGGTGATTTTCAAAGAAAGTGCAAAATATTTGAAAAATTTCGTTACTTTCTTTATGATATACCTATATTGTATGGACGAGTGCAAAACTTCGTATGCTTCATAGTAATGATTCGTTATGTTTTTATATGGGTGATTTTCAAAGAAAGTGCAAAATATTTGAAAAATTTCGTTACTTTCTTTATGATATACCATATATTGTATATACCGCGTGGGTACCGTCAAGGTAGACATAGGAAATCTCATATAAATAAAGTTTCCGCGCGGCAAAATGAGACGCGGTAACCAATGAACATGTTAGGAGCTGTAAGCTTATTGGCTATCGCGTTACATTTTGCCGCGCGATAAGCGTTTCCGCGTTCAGTGTGCAGGAACCAATAGGAAATCCCATATAAATAAAATTTTTATTCAGCGATAATCGAATATATATTGATAGGATAAATAGAAAAAAGTGAACAGTATAGATAGTTATTAGATTTGATAGAATAAAAATAAATAGAATTTATGAATTTGATCTCTATTTATTGAATATTTTCCACAATAATTGGCGCCCCTTCCGCCTTTGCCCCCTCCCCCTCGAGACTAGGTACGTCACTGATATCGACCTATCGACTGTATCGCCTAAGGTTGCTTCAGCAAAAAAAGCTTCACATTACAAAAGTAATGTGTCGTAAGATTTCTTAATATGATTGATTCATATATTTAGATCCAATGAGGAACTAAAGGCGAGACTAATTACGTTAAAGAATTTTGCAACAGTCTTTTCTTAAACTTAAATGACTATTTAAACGCAGTTATGGTCAGAAGCACCCGTTTCTCTTGCTCTTTGCACCTTTTACATTTTTCATACTCAAGTATTCTATTTCTTTTCTTATATTTTTATATCTTACTTAGTGCATGTAGAAAGTCACTAAGAAATGCAAATATAACGTAGTTACATATAAAATTGACCGAATAACTTTCTGATAAGAAACAAAAATCAAATTGAACAATTTCTCCTTGAACTAAAAATGCTTAAATACAAACACGTGAAGTTTAGATATGCTGGATCTCGATCTTCAATTTGTAATCTCGATCTTCATTTAGTATGTACTTTAAACTACTATTTTTTCAATATTATCATTTTGACAGACCATGACAAACTTACAATAGCTTCGTGTTTCTCTCTGTACAATTTATTCATATGAAATATATGTACATATAAATAAGTAATCGGCTGAATCATTCCATATTATACAGTGTAACCGAATAAAATATGTTTATATTACAGGAATCACCAAACTTATACAAATACATACAGGTTGCCCCGTGCCAAAATGCCCGTCTTGAATATTTCACTAGTTTCTTATTTTAGAAAAAAGATAAGAAAAAGATAAGAAAACCATTTTCTTATCTGAAAGTGTTTCAGAGATAGGAGTTCTAAAAAATTGAAAATATGACGAGCGAGACAAAATTTGATACAATACCATAAAAAAATCTATTGTTATATTTCTCTTCTGAAATTATAAAAATTTATATATTCGAAACATCTTTTTTTAAAATTAATAAATATTTAAAAAAATAATTAAAATATTTAAAATGGATATTAAAAATGAAACAACTTGTACATTAATTTGTTTGGGATGTTCACATAGAATCAATCAGTATAATTGCGACAGAATAAACAGTTGCAATATTTTCTATTAACAAGATTTATACATTTATAAAAAAAAAACATCAAACAATAAGATACCCGCCTAGAAAGTAGGGAAGTCTCAGATTCGATTCCTGACTGAGGTAGTATTTTTCGTAATAGGTTCTTTATAGAATTTGAAGTGTGCTAATAGCATCAAATCGACGATCAAAAATTAATTTGTAAAGATTATTTCAATTCAATGATTATGTTGTACGGCTGACAGTACGCGGCGCACAGTCTGACTGAAATAAATGTATTTAGGAATTTATATTCAATTATTATTCTATAATATCTAGCTTTGACCATATTTGGCGGATCTTTATATACTTATGTGATATATTCATATATATCGGTCGTATTCTTATTCTCTTATCGATTAAAAAATAACAACCATTAATTTAATCACCCTTAAACATTGGAGGTATTCTACTCAGTCGCAATCATTTTAATTGTTTCTATATTCGTATATTTTATACCGCGCCGCATACTTCATTATACATATGTATTTAATATCTTCAACAACCCAGGTAGAACACGAAATCATAATTAAGTCATAATGGTATCACAGAACGTCATCAGGACATCATTTAATACCTAAAAATTGACTTATAAGTGACGAATGAGGTCATGATGATGTCCTCATGACTTCTATGTTCTACTTGGGAACTCACAGGCATTTATAACATCTCGTCGCAGAAATGCAAAATTGTATACACATAAAATGTACAAAATATCTTCTCTGGCAGTCATAGTCATGTTGTACTGTAGGATTTGTTACAAAATATAGGACTCAAATTCACGAACAATTCAAATTTTCATATTTCGTACGTGTCTACGAAATAAGCAATGCGCCAAGCGTAATTTAAAAATACAATACAAAACTTAATATCAAAAAATTATTATATCTGGCAGAATTAAACCGTATGAAGTTGTAAGAGAGAGAAGTTGTAACCGAATTTTGTTAGAAAAATGTATAGACGAATACAAAATAATGCCGATACTGATACTACCGCCGCGATTAATACTAATATAGCTTATTCTAAAATTAACATTATCCATCACATGTTACATATTCATTTTGTAGAATATTTCTTCTTCTCGTCACTCTCAAAGCCAGAGTCTAGATCATCGCTCTGACACTTTTTCAATGTACAACCCTTAGAGTTTTGCCTGATACTTTCTCGCTCTACCAACAACTTTTTGATACTATCTATTAAATGTTCGAAAAAATTCGGGTAGCCGTCGTATCCAGGAAACACATTAACATCTATTATCGCGTACTTCCCAGTATGATTTTCAATTACAACATCTATTCCAACTAGAATAAGACCAAATATCTCTCGAATATTCTTAACAATTGTTTCGAATATTTGATTATTTGGTTTCACAGTTAAAGGAATGTCTTCTTCGGACAATATAGACCACTTAGATCTACTACAGCTTTTCGATATATCGTGCGAGTTGAAGAATATTGTACTCGACGAAATACAGTCTTCTTCGTAAAAATTTTTAAAGCTAGGGCGCTCGACCACGTGAAAACGATCGCCCACAACAAATAATTTATATAAAATAGCGTTGTGATTAATGAAATCCTGAGCGACACAAGGTAGTTGACAGTCTTTCAAGTCCCTTTCATTAAAGATAATCATCATCTGAAATTAAAAAAAGTAAAAAATAATTTTTATATCAAACTCATTATTTTCTTGCGTCAGACATTTTCACATCTCATGCCTACCTTGTGCGCGTCGCTTGAGCCATATGCAAGAAGCGGCTTACAAACAAATGGATATTTAATACCACGCTTTTTTAACGTTGATGCAATTTCATGGACATTTCTGCTCTTGATTTCTACAAAGTTAGGAGTAAATACATCTGAAAAAAATAAAGCAGTGTCAAACATTTAGTTTAGTTCTTTTGCAGTTATATTTGCATTTATATACAAATTATAAATACATACCTTTAAACCGAATGCCTTCTTGTATAAATTCGTAAGATTTACATCGATTACTTAAGTTCCTAATATTGTCCAGAGGATCAATAATGATCAGATCTGGATGTTTGGCAATGTACTCCTGAAGTCGCGAAACAATATCTTCAGCCTATAAAAGATACGTTATAGAATCATTGACAATCTAAATATTGTTTTAAACGTCTTCATACATTTTTATCACCACTCTCTGCATGTGACTGCATATCTGTCAGCTTGTGTAAGAAAACGTGTAATGGTCCCTGCTTCTCAAAGCTTAAATTCACATTGATCTGAAATGCAGATGGAAAATTTAAAAATATTACAAATATTGCGCTTGCAAAAATAATACTGACAAAAATAATCGAATAGGAGAAACGTTGACATGTATATTAAAAATCTCACATGGATGACTGATCTACACAGTCACTTCGACCTAACAAACCTGGAGTGGGTCCGAGTTCAAAGTACTGTAGATACTCGTATACATCTATACATCACATACATAGACATTTGTAAATGATAAACCATTGAAGTAGTGCAGCGAATAACAAACATTTGAAAAAGTTAAACCGTTTGATTGTCATATTATTGAAAATCTAATTGATCTTTAACCCTCTTATTCAACGGATTTAACTCATACTTTGTTATGATGGAGCAAAGATCCTTGGGTATCTATTGCAGAAAACAAAATTTGAAAAAAATGAGCTGCTTTTGATAAACTTTGCAGATGGACGGACAAACATTGTGCAACTATGAAATAGTTTGCTACGCTGCACTACGTAAAAATAAGAATAAGAAATGTTGAGACTCTGTGCCACATAATTTTATTCCATCTGTACTAAAATTAAACGTTTTTCTAGAAAAAAAAACTATTACACCTTATAATCATAAAATGATAAAGGTTCTTTTTAGCAGAACTTCTTGCATCATTCATTTTTCCTTTTTTGTTCTCCAAGTAGATAGAAAAAGAAAAAAGATGAACTGTGCAAGAAGCTGAAAACAGGAAAAGTATATATACATCTCTCTTTTTTTAGTTGCAACATAAATTTAAAAAAATTACTTTAATTGCTGTGTACTAGTGATAATTACTACATTATTACTTGATAATCTCAGCTAAAGAAAACACTGTTTTGTCGAAACGTACTGGAATCTTTTTGGTGTTAATACATACAGTTTTTATGATATCTTCAAGAATAATATTATAATAAATTAACATGTAATTTTTTTTATTTTGGTTGTTTGTTTCCTTTTTAAAAATTTTGTATGTTGTACACGACGAGCTTGATTATTAACTTATTAATGTTAAAGAAAATTATTTTTACACGTAAATCAGCGTATTATTACTTATTTTTCATAACATTTTTCAAAGTACAGGAAATGCTTTGCGTCTCAAACGTTTCTAGAAACATTTCTGCCCATCAATATCGCATGTGTCAGAGGCAGGTATTCGCTCACCATTTTCAATCGAAACCCCTCGGACACGCATATGTTCTCGAAATCAGTCCAATTGAATTTCTGCCGTTTTCTCTCGGGCACCCAGTAACCGATGACACACTTGTCGCACATTCTTCCTTCCTCGCTCGTGCTGGCCATGCCGCGCTGACACCGATCACCGACCACGTGCGGATCGGCGCTCGATCGACAGCACTCGTCCCTCGCGTTTGTACGTCCCTGGAACGAGAGGCAGGTCGGCAGCTCTCATCCTCGCGGCACCGTTCCAACGATTATCCTTGAGGTCTGGCTCATACTCGGAAAGCGTGGCGACGAAACGAGGTTAGGTCTTCTACCGCTGTCGAAGACTCGCCGTATTTCCACGATTGTCCCTCGATAGCCGTCGTTGGAAAGACAACTCTTCGCCGAAGAATCGAAATCTCCGGTCTCTCCTTTCGGTCGTCTCGATCGTCTCCCCTGCACGTCTCTCGTTGCACGTCACTCGTCGGCGTCACCAATCCTATTGTTTACCTTTCGCATACTGCTGACTGCACTGCACAGCACACGGCACGGCCACACGCTGCTGGCTGCACATGCCGCCGGAAGTGTACCTCTCTCTTATCGAACGTGCGTGATCGCCAAGTAAACACGCGCTCCTCCGATCGGTTTTCGACTTTCGAGTAGCTGGTATCACCGGTTTTACGACCGCGATATTTGAGGAATGTAGAAGGATGCACTTAAGTTACTCTCGAACGTTATTCTCTCTAGGTCGTTCAAGTATGTTGGCTTTCCTGCGCTGCAACTCGAAGCTTCGTGATCGTTCGAGAATGTCGCAATTTTTCTACGGTGTTATCGTGAAAAATTTAAGTGTAAAGTGCGATAAATGCAAGGTTCATACAGATAACACTTGATTTTATCTGCAAATACATTTTTATATATATATTATATTATATCATATTTGATACGAATGTTACACACTGTTTCTATTAATTCCTAACTTTCAAAATTACAACTGTATACTGTCGGTTTTTTCTTTCCTATTTGTTTTTATAATTAACCCACCGTCGGAAATGTGAAATTTTTACTTTTCGTCTGCAATCTGGGTCTTTAAACTTCAATGCAGATTTTTATATTGTTTCGGATTGTGTAAAAATCTGAAAAAAATTCTTACAGACTTGTGAAAGCTTTAACTACAAGTTTTTAATATCATAGAAATTTTGTATTATATTTTATTTATTTTTTAATGATTTATATTTGTTTACCAGAATTTTTACAATTAAAAATTGATTATGTTTTTAAGATCCAACTGCCGATGAAGAGTTAAAAAAAATATGTCTATACGTTCTATACGTAACTTCAATTAAGTCTTTTTGCATAATAAAAGTCACACGATGAAAGAATATTTCTTATACAACACAGATAGCAATATTGCAGCAACATTGCAACTCTGGCAACACGAAATTTTAACAATATTACAGAAATATATATTACAAACCATGCGACATAAAATTTTCTAACAATATCGCAAGAACGTTGCAACATTTGCAATGTTTGAAATGTCCTATATCAATTGATAGCACAGCTCGTTATCGCAACATAAATAAAAATCGTTGAAAAGAATGTCATCTATGATAAGTCGAAGTGTCACGTGTCGCGCCGGATAATCTGCGGCTCGTTCTAAATACGTTCGGAGCTTCCCAGGAGAGACTGCAAGAGAAACGAGAGTTTATAGAACATTATATAGACCTTTATACAATCAATAATACTATTCAGTAATATTGAATCAGTAACACTGATAGTACGCATCAATATTTTTGTAACCTTACATGATCGGTATTATTGATAATATTTCAACTCTTAGTGTTTCTTGGGCAATTTTTCAGAAAAGAGGAAAAACTATTTTTCAACATAACAAAAATTATATATTGATTAATGAAATAATATTGGTACAGATATTCTTACAAACATGATAAATGTTGCTTTCAAAATTTTCGTTTTACAACCTTAAATATCACCATTTTGAAGTAACGGTTTTGATATCCTACGAAATTATAACAAATCCCGAATAACTCATCAAAATGCAATGGCATAACTCGAAATATCACCAATATAATTTATGTTTACCTTAATCAGCTAAAATGACTAAATTCAAAATATAACAATTTCTTCAAACTTTAATCACCAAAACTACAGTCTTGACTCCAAATGTTCCCTACAGAAGACTCCTTTTTTATTTATAAAAACGACATAACTCCAAATGTGTTGCTCTTATAAAAGGTATTATGACCTCTTTAAAGATCTTAAAAAGCAACACAAGTGTGCTATTTGGCGGACGGACTAAAATTAAATTATTAATAAGTTTAATATTATTGGTAATATTTATTATTACCAACTATTAGTAAGTTATAATAAGTAAGTTTACTCTTAATAATTGATAACGCAATCTTTACCTAATTTATTAATGGTAATAACTCCAAAATCATACCTTTGAGTTAAATCACTTTTGAAGTAAAGTAATGATATTATTAACTTTTCCAGATTCTTGATTCTCGAACATAATCGCTCTGATACTGATACTCAAAAATGAAGAAATTTGCACCATCACTGCTCTATATCAACCCATCAATATTAACCAGACACGATAATATTGCCAGTATTTATTGATGTTGACAGTATTATTGATTGTGTAAGGTCTATATTAACGATTTCTTTCTTGTATCTTTTTGACACACTTACCATCGTGGAATCGTTCAAGGACGTTAGCATACTCCTGGTGACGAGAACCGTCACACTACTATCACGATCCATCGCATTATCCTCGATCAAATCGTGTTTCCTCCTCAGGACGCGCACCTCACCGAGGGAATACGAGCACGAGCTCGGCATGTACAGCTCTCCCTCGGAATGAGATGATGTCTCAGGAGTAGTCCCGACCTAGAAATCGAGAATCGAGTCAATTTGTTGATATAATATCCTCTAATCAAGAATTCTTTCTTATCGCGAAATTTAAATTATTACCAAATATTGAATTTTATTGCACAATAGAATTATGTCGTTATATTGTTTCGTAGAGCAATTCAATTAATGCAATAATATTTGGTCGCATTACTATGTTAATTATAACGTCGTTTATAGCATTAACATAAGTAATTTATGACATTATCATAATGAGGAAGGGGAAGGGAAAGAATACCAGAAATTTCATTGTATCTGTTCCTTTGATATCTATTTCGGTTTAATATTATTACGAAAATTTCTCAGTGTATATTTTGCACATTTCTACCTTTTTTTTGTTCTAGAATAATTAAAAACTTGTCACTTACTCTTCTCGCGTCTGCACCCAACGCGCCATTAGTCGACCTACGAATCAAATACACAATGAAAAGATTAAATAATTCCAGAATAACGATTACATTATTAACTTTCCGGAGCTAATGTTAAAATTTGTAACATAATAAGTCTGTTTTTATTTCTGCACTAGACTGCAATTTCTTTCTCGCTTTCACCAAATATCAAACATGTAGTTATCTCACTAAAAGTATACTTATAGTTCAGCCACAGAAAGCAGACCTAATTACTGACGCTGTGTCTGCATGAAAAAAATCCTTATTGTACATACATACACTAGAAAAAAAATCTTGTTGCATTAATTAGAATTCTCGTAGATTCAACTAAAAAAGTACAAATCAATAAAATTCATACAATTAAATGTGTCTTATTTACCAGAATAGATGCAACTTTTGTCTAGTTATTTTAATTAAAATATGGATCGTTCATATTTCACCAAATAGTCTTATTATTATATATCTTCATATTTCAAATTAATTCAACCAATTTTTTTTTCAATATCTAAGTTCCATTTAATTTATGTTAATTAAAAGAATTTCTTTAATAAATTTCAACAAATCAAAATGATATATAATTTGTGTAAAAAAGAATGAACACTAACAATAAATAATATAAATATAATTTAATGAGAACAATCCAAGTTTGCAGTTGCGGAAGATTAACAATAACGTCTTTATATTCACCTGTCGTCGTGGTCCAGTAACGTACTGCTGACGCTAGAATTAGAGCTGGATAAGACATCTATCTTATACTTCCGTGATATGCCTGTTAAATCAATTGGCTGCTGCTCATTATCGCTTGTCGCAGTTTTCTGAGGTTTTGAGATCTCATTTCCGTCTCTGCGGTTTTCAACCACTGCGAACATCATCAACTTACAAGCTTCCTCGTTTCTCATATCTCTTGTCAAATTATCCTTTCCAGCAATATCAAAGGAAATTTGCTTGTTACAAGACGCGACTTTCCGCGAGGATGACTCGCTACTTTTCGGCAAAACACAGTCTCGTGGAGATTCAGTTGAGCAATTATTATCCGCAGGGTTCCTCTCCTTAATCATCTCTTGTTGCGGATCAATTTTCGCTTCACGTAAAGATTCAGTGTTTTCCTTCGCCGACGAATGTACGAGATTGACATCTTTTGTCAGATCTTCATCGATAAACTTCGATTTAGCAAGGTTTACATTCGAAGAAATTCGCTCGTTTTTTGTCTCCGAAACTTTTGCAAATGTGAACAATACTCTTTTGCTCGCCGGCGTAGTACTGTCTTGCGTTTTTTCGCTTATAATTTCTTTTACAGCTTTTTCCGGGATATTTGAACGCGCGTCGATCACCTGATCGCCTTGCGTGACAATTTTATTTGTACGTTGATTTTTATCAATCTGCACAACCTCGTTCGATTTATCGTCTTCAAGCTTTTCGATAATTATGTCATCTTTGTTTTTGGATACCGAGATTCCGGCAAGCAAATCGACGGCTTCCATTTCGCTTCCCCCTTTCGATCTTGCGGATGCAATCTTCGTAGACAAGTGTTCCGAATTCTCCTCGGGATTTTCATTGTCGTCGCTACGGATATCGGAGATCTGTTTTAACGACTCGGCTTCCGAACACGAGTTTCCATTGCTATTATTGTTCTTACTATTCTTGCTGCTATTCTTCGAATTTTTAGCAGCTGCGAAATGAACGCTTTCTCTCGATTCCGGAATTGCAGGAGAGAAATATTGATCAGGATTTTTGGAATCGTTAGATTTTTCATTAACTTGCCCGATATCATTCGTATTTTCTGCTCGCAAAATTGTCTCCTCATTCACATTCGACGTCGCATACGTCCGAATCAAAGAACCAGTGACGTTCCAAGAAAATATCTCCTCTTTTTTCGGATTATTTTCATTGACGTCTTTGTCCGTTTGATTTTTAACATCGATCGAAACAATCCTAACAACATCCGCGTTTCCTGTCTGACCTGTGTCCTTCTTGCTATTCGCAAAATGTTGCACAGACTCGCAACGGGCCGTAGAGCGAACGCTCTCTCTCGTCTCGCGACATTCAGATATATCGGAGGAGTGCTCGCCGAGACCTTTAAGTTCATAAGAATTTTTGACAAAATTTCGCTCGACTTCACTTCCGTCAATTTTCGCTGGCGTCTGTTGCACACTTTGTTCTCGCGACCCGGAGAATGCATTCGGCGGAGCGTTGCTTCGAGCTGAGGAATCGGGAACGTTTTGAAAGAATAATTCCTTGTCATTCGCGTTTCCTTGATCGGACTGACTTTTCACGTTAATCAGGATATTTCTCAGAATATCCAAGGTTTCCGACTGACGCGCGTCGCGGATCGATTCAACCTCGCGCAAATGATTCAGGAGCTTCTGTACCGCTGCAGGTGTTACCGCCGACTCCTTCAAGGCGCTCGCGATCTTCCCTTCGATGCTCCGTTTCTCGTCCTGCAGGATGTAGGCAAG